ATGTCCATCTGACAGAGGTGTAGCCAGGATGTGCTTTTGAATCTGTAACTACTAGTGTTTTTTTCTGTTTGTGTGTGTGTGTGTGGTGGTGGTGGTGGTGGTGGTGGTGGTGGTGGTGGTGGTGGTTTGTTGTTGTTGTTGTTTTTCTTAGAGGGAGAGTGTGAGAAAAGGTGGAAAAGGGAGAGAGAATCCCAAGCAGGCTCCACACTCAGCTCAGAACCCAACACAGGGCTCGATCCCATGACCCAAGGATCATGACTTGAGTATAACTACTAGTTTAAAAGACTCCTCATCTCTTCCTTTCTCTCCACACCTGGGTTTGGACCCAAGGTTGCCCAAATGCCAGTGCCCTATTCCATGTTCCCCTAAGACAGGGACCTGAATCTAGGGAAACACTTCAGTGCAGTGATGTACCCAGTGTCACCACCCTACCGACTCTGACAAAGAACAATTTCTTCATGAAGAATGTTTAGAATAGCAAACCTCTATGATTACATTTCCTGATTGTCTACTTAAGACAGTTCTTAGTTTTTCTGACCTTAAAAGACAGACTTTTAACACAAAGAGCAGGCTTGTTTCAGAAATCTCATTGAAAAATTGTAATGGTAATCAAGAAAACTTGCCCTTTTAATTGTAATACTGACATAAACAATTTAAAATTCTTTTTTATTTAATTTTTTTAAGTTTTATTTATTTATTTTGAAAGAGTGAGATAGAGAGCAGGGGAGGCACAGAGAGAGAGGGAGAGAGAATATTAAGTAGGCTCCATGCTGTCAGCACAGAGCCTGACAAGGGGCTTGAACCCATTAACTGTGAGACCATGACCTGAGTTGAAAAAAGTGCCAGATGCTCAACTGACTGAGCCACCCAGGGGCCCCAAACAAACTAAAACTCTAATAAGACAAAGGCTTTCTTCTTTTTTTTTTTTTTAAACGTAAAATAACCACATTGAATGTCCCAGTGTGGCTCTAAGACAATGGATACTACTCAACACTCATATGAGAAAAAGGACCAGAGAAGTAATTACTGGAACTTGATTGTGTAATATTGGATTTGAAAGTCATCCAAGATATTAGCACTGTCCTAGAATGGAAAGCTATGACATCCCCAAATACCACAAGGTAATATTCATTACAAGTTATGCTGGAGGTATGTGTGGGAAGGAAACATTATCAATATTTTTAGCAGTTTTCCTTAAAGAGTGAGAATGTATCAGGTATACATTTGCAACAGTGAAGTGATATATTTTCCTTTCCTCTAAATTATAATGTTCTGGGACTTTCCACCTAGTGAACCAGTGGGTTTCAGGGCTTCAGAGAACACACTATTTATTGCATGAGTGCATTTAGAGCTCTTGTAAAAGCAGGCTCTTGGGAGGAAACATTTGTTGAGAGAGAAGAGGATTCCTTTATTTCCAAACTCCTTGAAGTCTAAACTTAAAATTGTACTAGGGAGCACAGGAAGAGGGAGAATACAAGCTGTGATGTGGGAAGGCTGCAGTTGACATGGGGAAGAATGGGAGATCTCCAGGAAAAGAAGTAAGTGGAAAGGAAGAAGGAAGGGGACGTGTTCAGATCTGTGACTTCTTCTTCCCCATTCCAGGTCAAGTTCTAGGGTGGAACACTAAAACAAAATCAGATAAGGTTCAGGTAAATGGGAGCACGTGGACTTTCTCCTCATTTCCCTGGGCACAGGCTGGGCTTTCAGGTCCTGTCAAAGAAAAAGAACAACCAACAAGGTGCATCCAGGTGACAGATTGGAATGGTTGAGGGATGCTCTCACCAGAGTAGAGGGAGTCAGTTCCTCTTCTATTCTACCAAGGCCAAGTTCAAATCACTGAGGGACCAGCACAAGGATCTGATCAGGATAGAGAAAAGACTACAAGTTCCCTTCTGTGAGTTTCAGCAGCAGATACCAGGAAGATGCCCAGTGTCCAAGCAGGATGAGAAATGGCCTCACAGAGTTCAGGGAGGGCCAGGAGCACAATGCTGGACCTCGCCTAGAGCTCTAGACCCGAGAATCCTTTTCTCTTCACCTCTATACTCAGATACTCTCTGATAGGGGAGACAATAAATGACTGAGCAATTACCTGAAATAAATGAAGATAAACTAAAATAGGCTTTTAAAAAATAAGAGAGCCTATGTTACCTTTAATTGGCAAGTTTAATTCCACTTTTGCTTCAAGTCTTTATAGGATAAGGGCCTCAGATCAAGATAAGTAGGCCTCCTTTATTTTCTAGAAAAATAGAGAATGCTACACCTTCCTTCTTACTCTTGCCCTCATCTCATGGTATTGCAGAAATGCTGATTCCTCCACAACAAAACATTACTCTAGATGTGTTTGTTAATTTTATTTTGTGCAGGCACTAGCTGCCATTGAGAAAATAATTTCATATTTTCCATTATCACACCAGTGTTATGGTCTGTGGCAGAGACATTGCTATATCCTTCCCAAGCCCTGTTTCTTTTTTTCCTCATGGGCACACAGTTAAATTACATTTAAATTATATCTCAGCCTTCCCAGTAGTAAGGTGAGGTCATATGACTGCGTTTTAGTCAATGGAATGTGGATGGAAATTACATAGGCCACTTTTAAGCCAGTACCCTAAACTTCCTATGCAGTCCATGTTGGTCTTTCCCTCACCCGTCAGCTAGATCTAGGTAAGGACTCTGGCTGGAACAGCCACTGGATGGAATATGCCTGGGTCCCTTGAATGACTGCATGAGACAGAGCCCCAATCTCCACCTGTCAAGAATCGTGAAGTGTTAGGATTTTACTCTACTTGCAAGATAGCAAGTAAACTTATTACTGTTCCTTGGATCCTGGCAGAAGACCCAAAACTTCTGAGTCAGAGACAAAGTACTTTCTATTCCCTGCAAAACTAGTAGCCATTTTTTCATATTGGCTTGTATCTATTCTTGCTTCCCAAGTTCCGTTCATGCAACACAGGACACGTGAGAGATGTCTTCACGTGTGGTGGGCTACATTACGGAAAAGGAACACTGAGTTTGGGGAATTCACCATGTTGATAGGAAGCAGAAGCAAGACTGTGCTTTGTCATGGAGAAGACATTATCTCATTTTTCAAGGTTTCCCACAGCAAGTGTGACTCTGAGAATGGCCCTGGTAAGGAATGGTTGGGAGTCTTGACATGACTAATAAAATTTGCAGTGATATTCAGAGCCCCTGCAGAACTGTGCAGGAAACCAACCTTTAGTGGCTGAAGCCACTGAGATCTTGGGTTTCTGTAGCAATTAGCCTATCCTGCCTGATACATAGAGTCCCCTGGGAAGAACCTTCCTTGCTTATCCCAGAAGTTAGCAGTAATTCCTTATTTTCTTCTGTCTTATGCTTCATTTTCTCCATCTACAGCTAATAAATATCCAGGGGCTAGATGTTTAGACTAAAGAAAGTATTCATTTTTTTCTAAAGTAACTTTATTTTTCTCAAAATTTATGACTAAAATTCAAGTATCAAAGTTTCAGTTTTATAAGGTTCAGTGTTAATTTTCTTATTTAAACATATCCATATGACAAATTTGATTAGTGGCAATTCTGACAAACTGACAAAGATTTTCAAGCTGTCTCAATTAATGAACCATTGCTAAACATAATAAATACTATTACTTTTAATATACTAGTGTTTATATACTAATAGTAATAGTAAGTATACCATTACTATTATTAAGTTTTTAATAGCTATTTCTTTTACTCATAATGGGAAAGTCAAGTGTTAAAAATATTGTACTAATGTCTGTTATGGAAAAGAGCTAGCAGTATGATGTTTTGTAATATCCAGGGAAAGCTAGCAAGATCATCAGAATATATTTCTTCTCCATGAGCTACTATTGTGAGTTCTTTTAATGTTTAATGCTGAACTAGGAAAATTCAAAAGAAGACACAATTTTCTGTGGAAAATAGTGTGAATTGAGTTGTTACTAGATCCCATATGGTATTAAAGTACTATATCTCATATCAAGTGTAAAACAACAGGTTACATTGCTTGAAATAATATTTAACATTTTCCACCACTGATAGGAGTGACAAGTATCATTTGTGTTCATAATGAATGTCTGTCTTTCATTTTGTTTTATTATTTACTTCTTTTTAAAATCAATCTTAAATAAGTTTTTAACGTTTATTTATTTTTGAGAGACAGAGAGAGAGAGTTTGAGAGTGCAAGTGGGGAAGGGGCAGGAAGAGAGGGAGACACAGAATCCAAAGCAGGCTCCAGGCTCTGAGCTGTCAGCATGGAGCCCAATGTGGGGCTTGAACCCACAAACCTTAAGATCATGACCTGGGCCTAAGTCAGACCGTTAACCAACAGAGCTCCAGCTGTCTTCCATTTTAAAGATCGTTCTGATCTGCCACCTGCAGAATAAGTCATTTGAGTGTCTTTTCAGTAATAGAGATAGATTTATCCATTCCTACTCCTCCCACCCCCTTTCTGTCCTATTTAAGGGCAAATTATACAATGTAACCTGAAAACAAAAAAGAAAAAATTGTCCCACAGGGGATTGACCATAGAACTTTGACCTCATTACTGTACATTAGCACCATTTCCTATTCAAAAGAACAAGCCTGTCACAGATAATAGGTCCCTGCTCCTGTAACAAGTATGTTCCTAATCAATTTTCTGTTTTCACAGGGTTTCAAGCAAGCTGCACGATGACTGTATCACACTGAGTTATATTTCTGTTTGAATATTGAGGCATAATATATGTTTCTCCTGCTAGAAGTAATCTTCTGAGATTTTATATTTTGTAAAAATAAGAATTTCCTATCTGGATTTCTGGATAACTTAATTTATGACTATCCAGCCAACTTTGATGTCTGATACCCACTGTGGCAAAACTAGTGTTGTCCATAATAATATATGGATGGATGCTATTTCCTGAAGTGATTTGTTGATGTTTGTTTCTCCAGCAGATTTATGTTGTCTATTAAGTCTTTCATCACCATCTGGTATAATTAATGTCTCGTGAAACTTGCCTCTTGTAGCACAAAATCCATCACATGGCAGATATGCAGATGGGCATTCCATGAGATGAGCCAAGATTTTGAACACAAAGCCTTCTTCAGCCAGCTGGGAGCAGATATACGAAGAGCCTTGTCACCTGAAATTTATTGTCCTTCCCTATTCATTGTTCCAGAACATAGGGCAGCAGCTAGAATCTGTGGCTGAAACTGAAGTTTCAGTGAGCAGTATGGTGAGCCTAGTCCAAACCTATGTCATCATCCAAATGTTGACTTCAGATTTCATTGATATTTACCAGTACCTTTGTTTTCTTGTTTTTCATTCACAGCCCTTTACTTTACTCAGTATTTCGTGAAATTCTATATATTATATGTTAGATTATTTGCTAGACATTTTGTAGTTTTATCGCTATTGTTCAAGGTATTCTATTTCCTGGCATATTTTCTAGTTGGTTGCTGCTGCTTTAGAGGTTGTTGATTTTTACATGTTGATCTTGTACTGAGCAAACTTGCTGAACTCCCTCATTCTCTGCACCAATATTGGTTATTTTGTCTTTTCCTTTCCAATTCTTACATCTCTTATTTCTTTTTCTTATGTTGTCCAGGGCTTTTAATACTATTTTAAAGAATAAATGGGATAGTAGATGATGTCTATGTGAAGTGCCTTTATGAAATCAGATGACTGCTGTGGCTTTGCAATAGATAGTAAATTAAATTCAGGAAGTTCCTTTTCTTAGTTTCTTAAGAGAAGCACACTTTTTAATAGCTGCATTGTATTCTTATGTACAAATATATTGTAATTTATTTAGGCAATATCTTATTGAGAAATATGTTGGTTATTTTCATAAATTTATTTTTTATATTACAAAAAAATCCTACAGTAAAAATCTTTGTACATATTTCTTTCCACACTTGTCTAAGTTTATATACAGGAAACATTTCTAGAAGCATAACTGCTGAGTGAAGGATGTGTGCCTTAAATTTGTTTTCTCAAATTTTGGATAAATGTTATCAAAGAGAGAAAGAGCTAAACATTTGTACATCTTGTTTTGTATACTATTTCAAGTTAACTAAGGGGGCGTAGTTGATGAGAGTAAGTTGGTTTTATAGAATTTCAAATGCAACTATAGGTAGGGCAGTAGCATTATAAATGCACCATTTTGTGACGTTCAAAGCAGTAATCGATTCAAACAGTAACCATTAACGGATGTCAAAATCTTGAAGAGAAAAGTTGATGATTATAACAGAAGGATCAGATAGCCATTGTTTGATTGCACTTGTTAGTCTTAAAATCAACGCAGCCAAACAACCAGACTTTATGAAGTACAGAGAACATGTGAACTAGTCGCACAAAAAAGCTTGAACCTGAATCTAAGTTTCTAACGTTTAATTTCTACTTTAGTGGGAGGAGAGAGGAAGGGAAACAGTTAAATAGCACAAAGAGGAAACAATTAGACAAACCCAGAATGAAGACATTCTACAGAAGAACCATCTTATATCAGCCACAAGTCAATGACATGAATATAAAAGGGAGAGTCAAAAATGTTAAAAATTAACAGTCAAAAATGTTAAAAAATGTAATTCAAATACCACGTGTGGTCCTTGTGTGGTTCCTGTTTCAAATGAATTTGCAATATATATATATACATATATATTATATATATATACATATATTATATATATATAAATATTTATTTTTGAGAGAGAGACAGAGACAGAGCACAAGCGGGGATGGACAGAGAGAGAGAGGGAGACACAAAATCCCAAGCAGGCTCCAGGTTCTGAGCTGTCAGCACAGAGCCTGACACGAGGCTGAGATCTATGAACTGTGAGATCATGACCTGAGCTGAAGCTGGACGCTCAACCGACTGAGCTACCTAGGCGCCCCTGCAAAAGATATTTTTAAGATGTTTGAAGAAATATTATTACAAACAAGATGTTAGATGATACTGAAAAATTATTAATTTTGTTACAAAAGAAAATAGAATTGTGGTTATGTAAGAAAATGGCCCTATTTTTTAGTGAAATTTATGGAAAGTACCTATGATTCTAAATAAAACAATACCAGGGATTTTCTCAAAAATTCTGTAGCCCCATTCCCCCCAGAACAAAACAAAGCAAAAACAAAAAAGAAAAAAAGAAAACAACCAAAAACAAAAAAGCAAAAAAATAAGGAAGAAAAAGAGTAGTTGAAACAAATATGGGAAAATGTTGATAATTGTTTAATCTGAGAAATACACAGGTGAGTTACACTGTTCTCTCTACTTCCGTGTGTGTCTCACAACTTTAATCTCAAGTTCTTCTAATTATTACAAATTAGCTGAAGTCCACAGGATTTAAAATCTGAAACCAGATTTTGTTCTTGTGAGTTTTAAATAATAAAAAAAGTCATAATAAAATTTACTTGATCTTCAAAACTCCAAAGAAATTATAATACAAATGTCTTAAATTACTTCTCCCCCAACCCCAATTCTAATTTCCCAATATGTTTTCTGCTCAGTCTCAGGCAGATGACTCTCAGTTCACTGCCTAGACAGATTCAGGGATTTTTTTTTTTTTTTTTTTTTCATTTGAAATTTACAAAAATGTGTTTTTTTACTTTTTTTTTTTTAAAGAGAGAGAACATGAGTAAGGAGAGGCAAATGGAGAGAGAGAATCTCAAGCAGGCTTAGTGCTCAATGCAGAGTCGGACAGGGGCTCAATCTCACAAACTTGGGATCATGACCTGAACTGCAATCAAGAGTGGGACACTCAACCAACTGAATCACCCAGGTGTCCCAGATTCAGGGATTCATTAATTTTTTTTTAACATTTATTTATTTTTGAGAGAGCATGAGCGGAGAGAGGCAGAGGGGAGGGAGACACAGAATCCAAAGCAGGCTCCAGGCTCTGAGCTATCAGCACAGAGCCCGATGCGGGGCTTGAACACATAAAACGTGAGATCTTGACCTGAGCTGAAGTCAGCTGCTTAACCGATTGAGCCACCCAGGCGCCCCAGGGATTCTTTAATACAGTGATTCTGAATCTGATGTCCAGACTCCTCCTGAGTTTCTGATTTCATTTGCTTGGGATAAACTAGACCAGTGGTCCTCAAACTTTACTGTGCCTGAGAATCCCTGCAAAGGTTTAGTAAAACATAGATTGCTGGACTACCCCCAGTTTGCATTTCTAAAAGGTTCCCAGGTGATGCTGATGGTTCTGGTCATGGTCTGGGGACCACACTCTGATAATCATTGGACTATGGAACTAGATATTTTTAAAGGCTTGGAGGTGATTTTAATCACTGCTAGAAAAGCTTCAGTGGGTACTGTCTTTAATGGATATGGGTGTGGTTCTTTCAGAATCTCAGAAATTTAATTTAAACATGCTTCATCTTTAAATAACAGGCTATGCAACACGATCACAGTTTCAGCTCCCCACACCTACCACACCACACACACACACACACACACACACACACACACACACACAATATTCCCAAGCTTGGAGAGAAGACGTATCCCAAACAAAATGATGGTCCCAGAACCTAGTGCTTGGTAAACTCCAAAGGTGGGAACTGTGAGTGAAGGAGATAGACTGAAAAGAGAAAATTTTGGTTTCAGGTTCATCAGAATGTCTGTCCCTCCAAGTGAGTTGTTTGGATCCATGATCTTTGAATGCCAGTTCACTGGAGGTAATTATGGGTACCATGTGTTTGCACATGATGGGGGAAAAATTCCACCTATGGATTACCACAAGTTACCAGGATTTTTGTGGATCTCTATTTTTGCCTCAACAAGAATAGTCAAAACCTCTTCAGTTCCATTTACCCTTTGAGCATGGGCACTCTGGCACAGTTACCATACTTTTGTGAGCCCACAAGTTCAGTTCATGTTACAGAAGCCACTTCAACTTCCTCTTGCTATATGGAAGGGCATGTGAAATCTGCTTCCACTGGAAGATTTTCACATAATCTCCACTTATTTTCCAACTAGGGAATCAGCCTCAGCAGATTCCTTTATTTTAAATTTATTTTTTTATTAAAAAAACCTTTTTTTAATGTTTATTCACCTTTGACACAGAGAGAGACAGAGCATGAGCAGGGGAGGGGCAGAGAGAGAGGGAGACACAGAATCCGAAGCAGGCTCCAGGCTCTGAGCTGTCAGCACAGAGCCCAACTTGGGGCTCAAACTCACAACCCGTGAGATCATGACCTGAGCAGAAGTCGGTTGCTCAACCGACTGAGCCACCCAGTGCCCCAGCCGCAGTAGGTTCCTTAACTGAAGTTCTCCTTGTTGAATCTCAAGGGGTTGCCTCTGGGAGTGTAAGGTAGATGGATGTTTCTGCCATGTGCTCCTCAAGACGTGTTTTCCTCAGCCTTTGTTTCGGGACCTGAGTAGCATTTCTTACACTTATATCTTTATTTTCCCAATTGTGGTATATATCTCAAGTATTTCTTTCCCCTCTGCTCCTCCTCTACTCCTTTAAGAAAGCCTCAGCAGAGTCTCTCACATTTAAATTACTTTAAGAAAAATCGGGGTCCCTGGGTGGCTCAGTTGGTTAAGTGTCCACCTTCAACTCAGGTCATTATCTCGCAGTTTGTGAGTTCGAGTCCTGCATTGGGCTCTGTGCTGACACCTCAGAGCCTGGCGCCTGCTTCGGATTCTGTGTCTCCCTCTTTCTCTGTCCCTCTCCTGCTCATGCTCTGTCTCTCTCTCTCTGTCTTTTAAAAATAAATAACTGGTAAAAAAAAGATAAGTAAAAAATTTTTAAAAAATCATACATACCCTTTACTTTTCTACTGCAGAAAATCTCAAAATCGAGGGCATTTTTGTTTTTAATTCTTCTTTCTTCCCAGCCTTACTGTTTCTTATCTCATGTACTCTTTCAGACTTGATTTTGTGGGAGTCTCCCATTGTAAAGAGAAACAAACCATTAGTTTATGGATCTACTAGAAGCACCAACTATTGAAACAAACCTCATCCGTCTTGCTGTTTTAAAATTGGTTAATCTGATATAGGAGGTATTTTTCCACCACCAAAAATCTAATGCAGGCCTATACTTGATCTATTGTTGTCCTGTCTGGCTCCCTTTTATCTTGCTTCATCTTGGTTGTGTTTTTTTTTCCTTAAGAGTCCCAAATTCCATGCGTTTCTTGGCATGTCCCCACAGGGCATAGCTAATGCTTGCATTGTCCATTTACAATAAACTTCATGTTACTTTGAAACTCACCCAATAATTCTTTGAATATTTTACTCTATTCTTGGTTCCCCCCCAATCTGTCCAAAAATTTTATTCAGCAATTTTGCATACTTCTCCCAATCTTCAAGGGTAATTCTCCCAGCTGATCCTACTATGCCCTCTTTGCACCTTTAACTCTGTCTCTAGTGGAGGACACAGGGTGGGTCTTTCCAGATGACTGTCTGAGACCTCACCTCTCTTCCTTTGTCAGATTTATTTGAGCTCCAATCACTATTTACGCTTTGCTGTAAAACACTTTCCCTTTTGTGTCTCTCTAGTTTGCCCTCTATCTTCTTAAAAAAATCTTCCTTCAGTTTAATTAACTTGCTTTCTTTTATTTTATTCTCCTTCTTATTATTTTATTTATTTTTTTTTTAATTTAAATCCAAGTTCACATATAGTGCAATAATGACTTCAAGAATAGAATTTAGTGATTCATCACTTCCATACAACACCCGGTGCTCATCCCAACAAGTGCCCTCCTTTTTTTAAAAAAAAATTATGTTTGTTTATTTCTGAGACTGAGACAGAGCATGAGTGGGGGAGGGGCAGAGAGAGAGGGAGACACAGAATCAGAAGCAGGTTCTAGGCTGTGAGTTGTCAGCACAGAGCCTGACGGGGGGCTCAAACTCACAAACCATGAGATCATGACCTGAGCCGAGGTTGGTCACTCAACCAACTGAGCCACCCAGGCGCCCCACCCATTTAGCCCATCTTCCCACCCAATACCCCTCCAGCAACCCTCAGTTTGTTTTCTGTACTTAAGAGTCTCTTATGGTTTGTCTCCCTCTGTTTTTATGTTATTTTGCTTCTCTTCCCCTATGTTCATCTGTTTTATTTCTTAAATTCCACATATGAGTGAAATCATATATTTGTCTCTCTCTGACTCACTTATTTTGCTCAGCATAATACACTCTAGTTCCATCCACATTGTTGCAAATGGCAAGATTTCATTCTTTTTGATCACTGAGTAATATTCCATTGAATACACATACCACATCATCTTTATTCATTTGTCAGTGGATATTTGGGCTCTTTCCATAATTCATTTTTCTGCTGATTTCTGTTCTGATAGCAAGTTAGTCAGACTACTGGTCTGAAATCTGTGTGTGGTGTTTATGTTAAAGACATATCCATAAATTCTTATTTTGTTGCACTCCTATTGGTGCATTTTAAAACTCAGGATTAGATAGTACATTTTTCTACTCTGCCTTGCTTTCTGAAAATGTATAGTTCCTGTTATTTTATGTTTGCTTCTATTATTTGTAAAGATATTCCCAATTTTCCCCACTTAGTACCTTCTTTTCCTAACTCCTTCTTTCACTTCTTTTCTTTTTCTTTCACTATATTATTGTACACTTCCTCTCCATTT